CCAAAATTGATAAGTTTAGAGAGGTGAGGGATAACTTTATAAATGATACTATCAAATGTAACATGATTGAAAAGTTTTGCAGTAGTCACTGAAAGGCAACAGATAATGAAAGTTTCATATGCCGATTTCTGTTGTTCCCAGGCCGTGTGACAGCTTCATCGTTGTCCTATAAACCGTGTCGAGATTATTATTGTGAAAAAATGATAAAGTGGATTAAAGTTCGGTCTCAGGCTTGACATTTGCAGAGATTCTTTGTTGAATAGTTCATACATCTGGCACTCAGTAGTGGTATCATAGCAACCAAGTACAAGTTTATTGAAGTCGCTTTCTACACTATCGACCAGAATTATGCCTTTTCACCTGAAGTTGCAGTGGTCAAGAGTATCACATTCAACGCTAAAGTGTACCTAAGTTCCATAGAGAATCAATTTTGATGTATCACTTAAAACCCCTTCGATCTCAGCGTGGTACTGCTCAACACCGTGCATGCATGACTCCGTCAGGAATCTAGCCAAGGACCTACAAACTTAACAGGGAACATATTGTCAATGAACCACTGGTAGGAACCCAATGTTTCACATTTGTCTACATTTCTGATGATACCTATCCTAAAATCGACCAAATTCGCATAAATCTCTAAACTAAAATAAGGAATTTATGTTTATTTAGAGTTACATTTTAGGATGATGCAAATGCACAATATACTTCAAGGGTCTTGTCTTCCGTTTCCTTTTTCCTGAATCTGCAGGAACCGAATACACAGCCTTTTAATCGTTAATACAAGGAGGTTTTCTAGGAAAGCGATTATAAACTAAGTTGTTAGTATCTTAAAGAAATAACAATAGTTGGACAACTCTTCCACGGATAACTATACAGCTCAATATGACAGATGCCGAAAAACACAAAAGCAGACAAACTATTTGTTATCCTTCATCAGGTTAACATCATGAACACTCAGATCTATAATACTGTATGTATAGAGAAAATATGTCAAGAAGAGACTGATTTGTTATCTAGAGGCTTTCGAAAACAGTGACACTAATAATGGTAGTATTGTAGTCCAGTTTCTCGACATTAAAACACGACTGAGTTTTGAACTATCGAAATACCAGTTAAATAATTCACTTGGTCTTTAACTGATCCCCGAAGTCGTTAGAAGATTATTTTGATGAGTATGCATCTGCACATGGTTGGTAATGCCATTCCCGTTTGTATAGTAATGGAATACGAACCTACACGTTCAATGTCCTTAGTTAGGTTGCATGTAGCCAAATAAACCTCTTGTACCCTTAGAGAATGATCCTCTCATTTCACCGTTTATGATGTTGATTTTTTGAGAGGTACTAAATAACTAAAAGTATCTTTCTACTCAACATTTTGTCATTAGTTACAAGTAAGCTGAGTTTCTGACCAGGGTAATACTTTTAGGGAGTATTCCATATCGTACTCCCTTATATATTTAACATAGATCCCATAATTTAATAGTCATTTAATTGTGCTGATACTGAACGTTCCCTTGGCTTTTTACTGGTTTTGAACTTGTTGTTTTATTGTCAAGGCAATCTCCCATTCTATACTTCGCATCACCTCATGCTATTGTAGGGATGTGTGTTACAATTCCGTAACGTTTGATCACCCCTACTTAACTTGATGTGCTCTAGTACCTGCTTAACCAGTACTTTACCTAACGTGTAAGTACTGGTAACAAAACACAAATCAAAAGAACTGATACGCAATGTATTTAAAGGAGCTATGTATTTAAGGTAAATGTAATAATAATGAATGAGGGAAAAGTTTGATCAACTTATCTGGCTTGTAAGGCTGAACTAGGGACTAAGAGTACGTGCGTGGTGATCAGCACAATGGAGCGCAAAAATGGCGTCGAAGCCTGCTCGGATGCATGCTCGTTAAAACAAAACTTAAAACACCCTGAGCATCCGGAGGCAAGCTAGAGATTTATTTAGTTAATTTAATTTAAACTATTTATTTTAGCCCTAGTTATATTTTGGTGCCAGGAAGGTGCACTACACTATCAAACTGTCTAATGCAGGTGGATCAACAGTGTTTGGTATGACAGAAAAAGTGACATAGTTCATAGCGATGAAAATGAACTGATCACCTCAGATTGAATAAAAGCCACTGCCACTGCTCTATAACGTTGGAAGCTCTTATCATCTGAAGAGAGTTATACTAAGGGCAAGTACATATTGTGTCGGAGGTTAGTAGGATCATTTATAGTCCTTAAGAGCGTATTTGAGATTGTCAGAGGACGCTGCATTCATTTGATAAATGTGTAACGACCGGCTGTTGATACGTTTTCATCTAACCTGTAGGTAGGTAGGTTGTTGCAGGAAGGCACGTAGAGCAACGTGAGTGTGATGGTGACTACGAGAATCTGGAAAGGTAAAGAGGAAGAGAAAAAGGTGAGCCGATTATTCAGCAAATACACAGGATGTACTTATATTTAATAATAAAAGATAACTGACAAACTGTAGAGTTTGACAACGAAGAGGTGAGGCAGTCTAGAAATCGAAACAGGAAGGTGAATGATTAAGATTTCGAATGCGTTACAATATGATTTAAATGTGTGACATGTATGGCGCAGAAGAGCAATGAGATTAGTGACCATGATTCGCTGTTTGAAGAAAGACTGTTATTAAAAGTGTTTTAAAATATCACGTCATGCTTCCAGTCCAGGTGGTGACTTATGGTGTAGGTAGGTGCAACAAACGTAATGAAATTTCAGTAATAAGGCGTGTATTGAGTCAGAATCATATGAGTTTCACAATTAATTGATTCAATGGCTATCTTAAGGAACATTGAAATATAAAGTTAAGTTATTTAATTTCATTGAAAAAATTAATTTTCAGTGGGATTCAACAAAAGTAAATTGTTATTTCACCAGTTGCCAGGGTCGATTTTAAAGTTACGAGTTAATTATCTATATTGCAACTATCAGTGCAAGTATGTGGTACAGGTTATAACAGTGTACTTGCCAACCTAACTCTTCTTTTGCATACAATGGTTCCACCAATTAAATTGCCATTTTGAAAAAGTAACTTGACCAAGCTTCTTAAATCACCATTATATTTGCATATTTAAAGGTAATCACAGAGAATTAGTCATTGGAAGTGTAAAGATGAATCCTGGTCTGACTTTGAATTCGTCACACATGGTAGATGAATAGTCATTAAGCTAAGCATCATCTCATTCTTACCAGTTTACTCAATAATCCGAAAGTAATTGACCAGCAAACAGAAAGTCAATCCATTGCCTGAAAACTAGATAATTAATTATCAGGCCAATGTTGAATATATCAAGGTACACAGCATGGAATGTTTGCAGTACATTGACCTTGAGGGGAGAATGCAGTCTATAGTAAGATAACCCTGGAGTATGCAAATAACCTTGTAGAAGTAATGAATAATACACAGTTATTCCGAAAAGTTTTGGTGTTGGTTAGTTATATACTGTGAGCACACCATCATCTCTTTCTGTATTAAAAGTGAGCTATTTACATAAACGCATTTAAAATTTGTCCTATATTCCTTTTTTTGCGAAATACGAATAAAATTCATCCTCCTGACAAATTGCTATGCATAGGAAGTTTAAATACCAATTATCTTATTGTATTTCATACATTGATTCCACTTATATAAACAGGCTGATTATCTTTGAGCAATGAAGCTGTACCAGCCAAATTTGTCGAAATGGTATAACTGTATAATTACGCCTGTAATATGATGTGTGCTTGTGTTTTCAAGAATAATATTATTATGGTAATTTATCTGTTTCTGGTTAGCTGAGAAACCCAGGACTAAAGCTTCGTCCTATTTAGGTCCTATTGGCCGTATTTACCCGCACTCCAGTAAGTGTTGTTGCCACTGAAAGGTACTCATAGTTCTTCGGTGCTCTAGTGGATAGCTGTTTAGCGTTTGAAGAGTTGGGTTCGAGTCTCATTTGGAAAAACGTCACTCAATCGGGATACCGTACCTCCAGCTGACGACTCACAAATAGAACCAAACGCGCGTTATGAATTCTTCTGCTAGCAACAACCAAGCAGATTACCATAAAAAAATACTCAGGCCATATCAAGGCTCCTGCATACGAGCCTATATGCTAACAAAGGTCAGAGAATATGAACCAGTATAGCAGGGCAAACCCAGTGACCACTGGATCCAATTCTGCTGCAATCGTAGTTTTCATTTCCTATTCAGTCATCAACCAGTGCAAACACTAGTCTGTCAACCCCCTCCAACTCACAAACTCAAAATAATAATTACAAATACTTCCACAAATAACATTGTTATTATTATTATTGTTATAACCAATATTAATAATGTGAATATTAGTATAATTATTACTAGGTCAACACAATGTGAGAGAAGTTTAATTTCGGGGTGTTTGCACATACAAAGCTGGAATTCTCACAAATTGTACACCACCCTCATTCTCACCCACCTCCATTATTCCATTCAAAGAGGAATACAACTTGGCATTCATTAGGAAATCTAGTGCATTCCCCATAATCGAAATCATATCAACTAGGGTGTTACCTGTACGAAATCACTCCCAACAATCAGTTCACACATGGACTTCTATGCAACAATAAAAGGACATTGAATCAAACATGAATTCCATGTTTGTAAGTAAGGCAAGGATAAATTAATCTAACCACGTAAACTTGAAGTGATTTGATCACTTTTGCATCACTTCTACAGTGTTAACACTAATTACTATTTCAGAGTAATTTGTCGGTGAGCGTGAAACAGATAATTTTTGGGTGGATTCATGTGACCTTCACCGATTTGTGTATGTTGAGGTTATCTGAGAGTAATGTTCTCCATGTACATTGGTGTGTATAAATTTGGTTGTATGAATGTGGAATGATATAAATGTGCACGAATTAACGAAGACTTCTCAACAGAATGTCGATTCTAGCCAACGTCTCAGCTTGGCCATTTTTCACTAGTCCTTGGGTACTCTTAGTAGACTGTGAAATGGTTCGTCTAGGACTGCCAGGTGCAAGTCAAAGGTTGTGTATTTTATCTCACATTGTTGGTGTGATAGCTGCTTACCTGTCACCAATCCTAGCATTTCTCAATGTGGTCCTGAATGGTATTGCTGCAGTGATATTTTTGTACGCCTATCCAAAGAAGACACGACAAATCATATACTTGGGATTTTTATCACTCAGTGACATAATCAACTGCACTGTAGGAACAATTTTGGCTGTCATACCCGCGAAAGGGATTCCGTATGCAACGAATGGAAAAGCATACTTTATTATATCAACATCAACGGTTGAATGGTGCAAATGTTATAGATTCATGGGGGGAATTGGATGTACATTCAAAGGGAATATTTTACTAGCTGCTATGGTTGACAGACTCTTATCGATATTCATACCATTAAAATATGGTAAATTACCAGTCAAATATGCATGGTATTGTATCTTGGGTTTGTTTCTATTGGCACTATCCTTAGTAGTGCCTTACGCGCTGTACAGTAACTTTATTCCAATGTTCGGTAAAACGATTTGCTGGGTAACTGGTGATTCAGCTGCATGGGCAATGTATACACTACTAGTAACAGATACTGGTTTCCTATATACATCTCTCAATGGATTGTTGGGTCTAGTACTGACAATTAAAGTTTATATATGGATTAAATCTCGACGTCGTATTGTGAGCCAGAAAAGTGATGAGAAAAGTTCTGAATTATCAGCCTGTGCTTTAACTTCTAAGTATTTCATGCATTATGTTTGTATTGAGTATTCCATATGGTATGATGTATTTATTTCCACCTACAATAGGATATGAAGCAACACGCTTCAATGAATCACTGCGGGAAATTTTCTGGTTCTTTATTGAATTGCAAGTTGTATTTAATACCACTCTCTACTTGTTTCGAATGAAAGATTTCCGTCAACTATTTCTATGCATTAACCTTGCCTGATTAACTAGTTCACTAGTTCCTAGCCGGTCCTATGCCCGGGTAATCACGGAAGGTTAGGCATACGGCTAGCAACCCTACCCCGGAAAACCAATTCAACCACTAAACAAACTTCAAAGCACAAATAAAATATAAAAAATAAAAACAGACTTATTCCTCTCTGGGATCGGAGAGGCGCAAGGACGCCGACTGGTGAAAGCCTTCGGGAAGCCAAGTGGCCGATGTGTCTTCTCTTCCTCAATGACAGCCAAAGTAAACGTGGGGAGATGGAATGTCTGCAACATGTTTGAACCTAGCTGGCAAGCCTGCCCAGATTGCATCGAGATGGCAAGGTATCGCATTGAAGTGTTAAGAATTTGTGAAAGCAGATGTAATGGAAGTGGACTCTCCCAACTGTCAACTGGAGAATCAATAATCTACTCCAATATTGTCACGAGCACACTCAGTTTTCCAGTGGCTATCATCATGTCTCCAACAGCATCATAAGCTCTCCTACAGTGGGAACCAATCTCCTCCACGATCAGGATCATGACAGCAAGATTCAACTCAAAAGGAAAGATAGTCACAATCATTCAATGCCATAATAAGCAACTACAAATAATAAGGCAGATGAAGAGAAGAAGGAGGAATTCTACAGACAACTGCCATCAGCACTGGACAACACCTCAGTTGGTAACATCAAAATTCTAATGGGTGGGGTGACATGAATGCCAAAGTGGGAGTGGGAAACACAGGAAGAGAACTAACCATGGGTCGAGAAGCGCTCAGTGAGGTGATGAACGAGAATGGAGAATTGTTTGCAGATTTCCTTGCATTCAATGATTTGGTGATTGGAGGCCAGACACTGTGTTCAAGCACAAGGATATCCACAAAGCAACATGGATTTGATTTCACCAGACACCAGATGGACACACTACACTAAAAATTAGATTGACTTCATCTCAATGTGAAGAAAGTGGAGACGCAGTCTACTTGACACAAGGTCAAGAAGAGGAGCAGATGTATGTTCAGACCACTCACTATCCAGTGCAAGGAACCGTCCAAATCAAGTTGAAATCGTCCAATTCGAGGAAGTTGGTGATATACCACAGTTGAAGTTCAACACCCAGAACAGAAACTGAACTCAAGGACGAAACTACAAAGAAAATCTTCACATCAACCAGACATCAAGACAAAATGGGAGATATCGAGCAACATACCTGAAGAAAGCTGTGTGGATGAACACTGGAACTCTCTGAAAGCAATGTGGAAGGAGACCTGCATAACTGTATTAGGAAGGAAGAAGAAAGAAGATGAGGAATGGATCTCCACGGATCTCGACATGGAAGCTGATGGAGCAGGGAGAGGAAGATGGTGATGGTGATGTTGATGGTGAAGCAGAAGATAAACCAGTGCAGGCAAGGATGCACAACGAAAAGAGGAAGTGAGTGTGACGTATAAAACACTGCGTTGGACAAAGAAGTGAAGAAGAGTGCATGCAAAGACAAAAGACACAAAGCGTGTGTTGTGGGTTAAGGCTGTTGTTTCCTTCCAAACAACACCATGGGGTTTGACTGAGTTTAGTAGATTTGATCATTGTATGCGTGAAAATTGCAAAGTATTAGTGAGATATAAGCAAGTTTCAAAGGGTCATTACGAAACACCCATTTGGCAATGAATGTAAGTCAAAAATCCATGTGCCATGTCTGTCCACATTGCAACCTCCTATTTTTGGAAGTTCAAACAATCAGTAATCGATCCAGTGAACTTCTAGGGTTGTACGATATTCGCTGTCTAACTGTCTAAATGGTTTGAAGTTTGTAGAAGCATTAGTAACCAGTCAAACTGCTGAGAATTAATAAGAAAGTTACGTGACTACACGCCAAATACTTGATTGCATAATTTCGCAAAATCTTGACAGTAAATCTGTTAGTACCAAGATCAGTTGCAGGTAACAGTATCTGGCACATAGTGGAATCTTGTCAAATGCTTTCTGGCGTTTGCTCGTATTTCACATTTTCAAGGTATCAGGCGATGAAAGAAGTTGGTGAAGCAAGTTTGAGTACAGGTTTGTAACCAGACGTAGATCAGCATTGAGCTTACATAATACGATTTGCCGTTTCGTAGTCCCATTGTTCCAAGGCTTCTTGTCTCCTGCTTCTGCTGCAGCTGGATCTGCAGTGACTAGCCACTTCAGCCAATACAATTTCATGGTCACGTCAACCGGATATCATATGATCAGTGCAGAATCCAGCTAGGTTAAACACTGTTCAAGGCATCAGTGTACATGTGCAATGAATTGTGGAAACCAAGCATGGAATGTTTGTAGCCTCCTATGGATGTGTACCATCGCTATATCTCGATGGACCAATGTTGTGTGTGTTCTGTTAAGAGTTTTGTTAGCTTACCAGCTGCTTATATCTGACTATCTTCAGTCACTTGCAGAATGCTTCCAAACAACAAGATAAGTTAATATTAAGGATGCATGCATTCCTCTTTTTCTTAGTATGCTTATGTGATTCTTCAAAACAGTGTTCACAAATGCTGAAAATGCTCAGGGTTTGTTTCTCTATGAGGAACAAATTTATGCCACTGTTAATATGTGTTAATATGTTAATATAGTGCATCTCTCTGTCTTGAAATGATAAACACGGTCTGTTTAGCTTACTACCTATTCAAGAATACAGTGAATGCAACAGCACCATACAACTATATCCTCAGACTTCATACACCAGAAACAAACACATTGCCCATGCTTAAACACTATACACATATTTCTCTGGTTTCGTTTATTTCCTGCTGGACGTTTGTGAGGCTGAACATAAACTCAGGGGGATAAGGAATTCCAGCATCTGATGTCAAAAGATTGTTCACCGGATCCACAATGATTTCGTAATTGTATTTTCGTTATCAACATACGAATCTACTTATCTAACATATAGTCTGATCACACATGTACTGGAACCTGAGTTGTTTTTCATAAGTAGAAAATAGCACACCAATCACGGCACTTTATTAGCCATGGGAACAACATCGTTTGTCCTAAAATGATTTGATTACCACACGTTTACAAATTTCGCATGTCTTTCCAATCTATAAATCTAAATTCGTTTGCATTCATAGTCACAGCTGTCAATGTTCATTGACGACATCATAACTCTACTTTGTCAAGTGTTCAATACAGTGATCCTATCTGCATGCGGACGACAATAAATACAAATTTGTAATTGTTGAATTTGTCGATCACCGTTTCCGTGTGATACTAAGAACAATTTTCATCATGTATTGGTGGGACTTATCCAATCACAGCAATATATTGGCCAGGGTGAATATGAAAATCTTCCAATTTGGCATACGTTGACGTGCTTTATACTGATTTTATAATTCCATGCTTGTTTAATTGTCTCGATACTGGGTGACAGATAACATTCCTGTTCTCAATAAGCTTTACGGTTCCACCAATACAACCTTCTCATTGTACTTGATATCATCACCTATTTTCACACTGTCTCACAAGATGGATCAGCATAGTTTGAAGTATTAAAAGTAGTGATATTATCTGCCAGTCCAGTAAGTAGATCTCAGTAGTCAAATATGTGCACTATAGTAGCACCACTGACATGCAAATCAATCACTTGAGAACATCTTCCCAGTGAGGTAGTGATTCGGTTGTAAGCTATACTGTGTTTGCATATGCAGCAATCAATGGGTATTCACACTAAAACTCTTTTCGACCACATATTCTTCTCTGTAAAGATACTGTGAAAATCCGAAACGGCCATCAGAAGAGTGAGATCATCCAGTCAGTGAGTAATTTCTCATTGGTCGATTCATTTCAACTTAAGCAGATGCCAACTTCAAGATTTCTCAAATCGATTTACCCCTTAGAAAGACTTATTGAGACAGTGGTTGTTGATAGAAGATACTTTCTTCACTTTGCAGTTGCCTTGGAAGAAAACAGTGTAGATACCTGTGTATTATTTTAAAGAGTTTATTCTCACTGTTTGACGTAAACAGACCAACTATAAAATTTTAAATAGGCGTCTTAAAAATGTCACCAAAACTGAACTTTTCGGAAATGAAGCCATATGACTAGACGATCGTGATAACTGTCATTGATTTCATAGATGATATATGAGGTGCACTTGCGGTTTATTTGAAGTACTTCTGTGGATCTGATGATGTCATCTTTACTGAGGTTGAACTCCATTCAGACGTCAAAGAAAGAATTTTCACTACTGTAACTGAGTAGTCGAGATTATGATCACAGTCAGAATCAAAGAAGTTATATAAGCCATTTAAGAAATACTTATTCCTCTTGGATGTAATTTGTGTTCCTTTGAAGACATTCTTTGAGAATAGGAGAAAGAGTATATTAAAGCAAATTTAAAGATGGGTAGAAAGAGAAGGAAAAAAGAATGTTCAAATATACAAATATATTTCAAGAGTGAGTATGTTTCCGATGCTCCTGCCAAACAAGACAAATATAATGTATATCGCTAGAAACATGATCTGTCTCCGGCAACTGCATAACATATATAAGGAGGAATGACATGGCTTACAACCCGATAACATATCATTCCTATTCAACTCACCTAAATCACGATAGTCATTCAGATCTCATGAAGACTGAAATCAGTGACTGGCTTAGCTTATTTCGTTCTGTCAGCTATTATGACCTCCATGTGTGGATGTTCATAGTGAATTGTTCTGTGTGTTGGTCTTGTGTTTGACAGTTTATACAGTAACCTACTGCCTCATTTCAATCGGAAAGACACCATGCACTGATGATAACATGTATTTGATTGTCTGACGATTAGTTTAACAGTGTACATCGTGCCTGTTTGTGTTTCCTATCACTCTCTCCTAGTATGGTTGTTTCAACGTA